GGGCATTTGCCCAGGATCTGATTCGACATTTTGTAGCAGACATTGATTGGACATTCGGCAGGGAGGCTATTTCTGGATTTCGCTAGCGCGATCTTGGTCTTCTTCCTCACCTCCATCTTCGTCTTCCCCCTCCCCCATCTCTCATCCGTGGTATCTTCCCCATGTGTGTGTACAAGGGGGACCTTTCTTCCATGTATGCGGTCCCTCTTCCTCTCACATGTGTGATGTATGATGGGAGGTCGTATCAGTAACTGATCGGTCAGGTCATATCTTTGAGTCTTCCGATGCGCTACTTTGTGCTATTTTCATATGTATCTGGAGGTACATTGCTGGTTGATGTTTTGCTGACACTGCATTGTCCATACGAGTCCTTTTCATCACTTTGCGGATCATGGGCTCCATATACATTGCCCGACTGAGCATGTATCAAGTCGAGACTGTGACCCAGTATTTGTGCCCATGCCCGGATTCAGCTAGCGGTCCGGGACCGAATTGGTTAGGGTCGCTCACCTGTGCAATGTTGCTCTCGCTGGTTGAGCTGCTTGCAGTCGCTATTGGCCGAAAGGCCTTGTGTGACACAGCACGCAGCAAGAGGCTCTTGCTCCCATGCTCCACTGGTTGCACAGCTTGGTCTGGACTGTGCTCAACTGCCCCACCCTGTGTTGCGACGGTCGGGCGTGCGGTTAGGGCACAAGAGGGCTCCGGAAGCCTATTTTTCTCTCCAGCCTTTTGGCTGGGGCCTTCCAAAGTGCCTGCCGAGGCCTGAATGCCTCGCACTTTCAACGCGAGGAACAGTTGAGGGTGCGGTCTATATCTATTGGGTCGTTGGTCCGAATTGAACCTAAGGAGCTGTTCTGTGTTCAAAGATTCTTTCTGGGTAGTGTGACGATGACAAGCATATAGTTCTTTTTTTTTTAACTTAAATAATTGAAATCAATCCATTCAGTTCATTTCATGCAAATTCATTTTTTTTCAGTTCAATTTCTTATATCCAGTTTCTCTTCAATTCAATCTTAATGTCCAAGCCAATTCTTTTAATGCCAACTTCTTATTTTGAAACGGTTTTCACCTTTTAGTAAAAACGGATGCAGTACTCAGAGTTCGATCCCTAGACCTCACCCTACACCTGTACAGTATTTGTGTGAACCCCGAGAATTGAACCTGTGACCTGTGTATTCATAGGCAGTTGGTAGACCTGTCGGAGGTCCGTAGACAGCTGGGGTTCGATCTGTAGGTCTATAGCGTAGGAATCTTAGTGAGTTCTGGAAGCTTAGCTGTAGACCTTCTAGAAGGTAGGCAAGTGGGCAAGTGGTCAAGTGGTGAGTCTAAGGTAGGCCCACGTTTTCAGACGAAGACAAGTGGCAAGNAGAAGGTAGGCAAGTGGGCAAGTGGTCAAGTGGTGAGTCTAAGGTAGGCCCACGTTTTCAGACGAAGACAAGTGGCAAGGTCAACAGGTAGGACCTCAGTGCAACTGCACTGAGTCGACGGTACGACCGCCTACAGTCAGCAGAAGAGTCTAGAGAGTCCCAGTCCAGTCCAGCAAGTACCACAGGGGGACTGTGAGCACCAAGGGACGATGGCAAAGGGCAGACCAACGAGTTTCTGAAGTATAAATCAAGAGGCAGCGCCCAGCCATTTATTCATTCCTGCGGGGGAACCATGCGGAAGCGCTGCCTAGCGACTTGTGCAGGAGGTCTGCAGATGAGCCCGGAGGACGCAGTGGGCTAGAGAGAGAGGAAGTTAGTATAGCGCTAGGGTTAGATGCAGTGACAGCTGCCATAGCTGTAATTAGCAGTGAGTGGGTGTGTAAGTGTTGGAGTGTTAGAGGGATGCGTGTGGGATATCCAGGGTGATCCAGTGTATGTGAACAGTGAGTTGTTTGGGCGCTGAAGTCGCCATAACTGATTGAGAGTGAACTCATATCTGAAGCCATATCTCTGAGTCTTGTGTGGGCGCATGTCGCCAGTATGCTGCGTTGCTGTTTACATGCATGAAAAGTGTGTTTGAAAACGAGTATGATTGCAATTTACTTATTTGTTTATTTGTTTATTAGTTTATCTATTTTGTCCAATTCAATTTATTCAATGCGATCTATCGTAATAATATTCATTTCACTTTATGTGCTCCTATGGGAGAGACTGGGAATCATTGCCCCCGTTAGTAGGTTGCGATCGTAGGTACGACAAGCTGGTAATGATGATGGATTGACAGATTTTTGGTAGCAATCGATTTGGGAAGACTTTAGTCTAGTGAGCGTTTCTATGGGATAGGCTGAAAAACCTTTCCCATGCAATTGCAGTTGTGTGTATTCAAAGTTAAGTACACGCTATGATCATTTCCTTGGCAGAGTCTTTGCTGCTTGCAAAGGTAGGGAACGGTTGAGGGTGTGGCCAAATGGGAGAGAGGGGTGGGCAGCATTCAGTTGTGAGTGTTGTGTTTGTGAAGGTGATTGCTCGGAATCAACGAGGAAGAGGAGGAGAAGTTGCGGGAAGCACAAGTTTGACTCTGTGTTTGGCGCTTCTCTTCCTCAGTCTCTGCTTTTTCTGTTCTGTGCAGCAGTAGCTTTGACATGCCAAGAGGCTCTTGGGCACAGCCCTCTTCTTCTTCTTCTTCTTCTTCCTCTCCTCCTCCTCCTCCCCCTCCTCCCCCTCCTCCTCCGTCGTTGTCGTTCTTCTTCTTCTCCTTCTTCCCACTTCTTCTTCTTCTTCTTCTTCTTCTTCTTCTTCTTCTTCTTCTTCTTCTTCTTCTTCTTCCAGTGTGATCTGCAGCTTGTTTTTGGTTCTGTACTTTCCTTGTGCTTTGATTTCCATCTTTTCTGGTATGATTTTTCTAAAATGACCGGTTTTGACAAAAGCCCGCCGTCTGTTGCGGTGTCCATTGTGCAGAGAACTGCTGTCGTCAATCTTCCATCCGTCGGTACAAAGAACATGATGAGGCCGGGGCCTGCGTCAGGTTTGGATGGCGGCGGCGGAGCGGCCAGTTTCAGTGATGAACGGATGGTGCCTCACGGAGGCAATGAGGTGGCGGTGGCGGCAGCAGTCTCAGAGAGCCGTTCAACGGAGATCCAGCTGCCACTACGCGGGCAATTGATGCCGAGCAGGTTAGAGTCCGAGCTCCCCGTGTTGCAAGTTGTGAGCTTATCGAGAACGCAAGAAGGTAGTGTGGACGACAATGGATATGAACGAAGAGCTGGAGCCTTGGAATTGGATGGCAGAGCGGAGGTGGATGAGAACGAACCGCTTCTTCCACCTTCGTTGGAGAAATCGTGGTCGTTCTTGTCCTCCTCTTCTGGCGAGCAATTGGGATCGAAGGAAGGGGAAGTAGTTTCTGATTGGCGCACAAAGCCTTCTCTCGGCGTCTTTTCCATTGATTCATCTCCCGTTGAACATGTGCTGGAACCGGGATCAGTATCTCTTCGTCACTGCGTGAGCATGGTCATTTCCAGTGTGATTGGCAGTGGGATCTTTGCGAGTCCTGGCCTGGCGTTACAAGATGCGGGGAGTGTGGGGGCGGTTTTGTGTCTTTGGGTGTTGGGAGCGTTTCTATCGGCTTGTTCGTGCATGATCTCGGCGGAGCTGGGGACCAGTTTTCCAGATCAGTTGGGTGATGTGCGGTTCTTGCATGAAGCCTTTGGCGAAGTGGCTTCGATCTCCTACATCTGGACAGTTCTCACCGTGCTCAATGGAGCTGGGTTGTCCATTCAAGCGATGATCTTCGCCAAGTACCTTTTGCCGCACTCGGCGGTCGGAGATGAGGTTGCTGCAGTGACATGTGTCATCTTCTTCACAGTCGTAGCAATATCGGGAGTCGCTTTTGAAGAGAAGATCCAGATTGGCATAGGAGGGAGTCGAGCGTTGTTGGTGGGGAGCATGGTCGCAATGGCGGCGACGAGTCTATGGCGTGACGGATCGGTAGCTTCGCGGAACTTGGTCGGTCAAGTGTTCGGTGGCACAGATCTTAAGGGCCTAGGGCTGGGGCTGATCGATGTGATGTTCGCGTATCAAGGTTTTGGCATGGTAGTCAATTTGGCGCCCAGGATGGCCAAGCCTGATCGGGATCTTCCTCGGGCTCTTGGATTTGGAATGCTATCTATCATGGTGGCGTATCTGCTGCTAAATTTGTCGTACCTGTGCGTCTTGCCGGCGGGGGACATGGCATCTTCCTTGGTTGTTGCGAACGATGCCGCACAGCGGGCATTTGGTCAGAGAGCGTCTGTCGCCGTCGGCGTGCTCGTTGCGGTGTCGGTCGCAGGAAACTTCCAGACGGTGATGAGATGTGGGGCGGAGGGGCTGCAGGGCGCGGCCGCGGTCGGGAAAGTCCCAGCTTGGTGTGGGAAAGGGAACAAGGAGCCGGTCGCGGCATTGGTCTTCCAGTGTGTCTTGGCCGTTGTCCTCATTTTGCTCCCTTGGAGCAACATCAGCGACCTGTTGAAGTTTTCTAGCTTTCTGATGACGTTCTTTGACTTGATGAAAGCTATAGCCGCCATCAAGCTCCGAACAGACAGGCCCTTCCAAACGCGGCGTGTCGTTCTGCAACAGATTGCCGATCACACAGACGCATCCCGACGAACAAGAAAAGGAGCTGGAGGTGGTGGCGATTGGTCTGGAGAAGGAGATGATGCGATGATGGGAGAGAAGGAGAAAGGTGAGAGTGATTGGTCTGGAGACGTAGAAGATGCGACGGGAGAGAAAGGACAAGGCGAATTAGAAGAATTAAGGCAGCCGTTTAAAATTCCTTGTTATCCCCTCGAGCCAGTTGTGATGATCATTTTATTGACAATTATTCTTTTCACAGCCGGAATTACGCAGCCTAAATACGCAATCACATCTGTCCTTATTGTTTGTACCCCGTATCCAGTGTACAGAGGGCTTCTATGGATCGGATGGGTGACGTAATTATTTTTTGTATTAAAATTTTAAAAATAAATTCTTTGCACGGTCGTTTGTTCTTGGCGAGCTGCATTTTCGTTGTGCCCAGTGATCAACGCTCGTGTATTTGAATCCTCTGCTCCAACGTCCTCTCATCCTTGCTTTTCATTGTCTCTCTCTCTCTCTCTCTCTCTCTCTCTCTCTCTCTCTCTCTC